GCTGCCCTCTGAGCTCAAACCACTACATCCTCTCCCACCTCTATGTAATTAACCTATTAGTACTATTAGCCTCAGAGAACACACATTGATAAAGTGGGAGGCAGCTATACTAAAAGATACCCAAATTTCAAGGAACATGCATTACAGAAACAGTAGTTTACCATTCTCAATGGAATACAAGTAATAGCATTAGGGCTTTGTGTCTCCAGACAAGACAATAGATTTGTCCTTTGAAGATTAACCTGCTGAGAGATTTTCATGTCAAAGTCACAGCTGTTCAAGTTTTCACTGCAAATGACATCTGTCTGCAGTGACCTGGTACTTTCAGGCTGCGCTTGCTGTTGAACGTCACTGCATGACTTTTCCAAATAAACTCGAGCACACAGCTGTCTTACTCTTACACATTTCTATACATGCAAAAATTTTCTTCTATATGGTGATCTTTCTTGGGACAGAAAGGGGGCCAGTGTTGTTAATACATAAAGAAGGGTAGACTGGAAAAGCCTGCTCTAGACTTGCTTCATATCACTGAACATTCCCTGATTCCTGATTAGGTACTCTTCCTCTGGTATCTCTTTGAAGGAGCAGAAGGAGGACTTCGCTGCTAGTGTCAAATTTGCTTTTGTTTTCAAGAAAGAAAACTTAAAATGGCTTTGTCAACATGTTTCTGATCAGTTTTCTAGTCAACCATACAAATGCTGATCCCTGTATTTGGCCTATGCTCCCTCTCTCACATCCTGGGAAACAGGCAATATTTGGTTATTCTGCAATCCTTAGTATCTACTTCAAAAAATTGTTCATATGTTGTCATTCCTGTTTTACAATCCAAGATCAGCTTGTTACTGCATTTCAAAGTTTTATCTCCACAGGAACGCAGTCAAGATTTACTAGTATTATTGATAAATATCTGTATGCAGCTCAACGTATTCATAGCACACTATATGCAAAACATTCAATCTGAAGCACAGCTATCAGAAAATATGACAGCCAAGTACTAATTTTGTCAGATTCAAATTATTACCTGGGGCATAGAAAAAGAACTTTAAACTGCTAAGCTGATCTTTACATATAAACTGGGTAAACTAAAGAATTCCCACATTTGGTGTTAGCATGGAAATTGCTATAAGAAATATTTTAAAATCATGCTATAGAAATGCAGTATTTGTATTGTACATCTCTTTTTAAATCATCAGCTCATCAGCTGAAAACAATATCTCAGAACAGTTTTCCTTTCTTAATACTGAGGCAGGGAGAAAGGCAGTATTTCACATCATGATAGTAGCAAGCTAAGATAGTCAACAAGGTTACTGAGGGGCCTTTGACACTGAAGTGTTAATTTTGATTTGTATTAAGGTATATTATGTTTTAGATCCAAATTCCAATTAGTCAATCAAGAATATACATAGTTATCAACTGTTAGCCCAACATTAAGTTAACTGGAACCTGTACCCTACGGAAGAATCATGAAAGTTCAAGATGGCTAAATACCCATACCAAATATGTCACTACTACATTTTTTCTAAATGCTATGAAGACAGATTCCCAGATGATTATGCTGAAATCCTGACTTACTGTAAATTTTACTGAACACACCATTTACATGGTCACCACCTTTTTATACTCCAGCAAGTAAAAGAGGATGATATCTTTCCAAACCTAAAAAAATGTAACAGTATCTGATTTACGTTGTATTTACCTCCAGACTTGTAAACTTAATGTTCAGACTTCAGAAAACTTATATGTGAGCTGATTTAAATTCTGGGCTGGAAAACCATTTCTACTGGGGGGTAGGGTATTGTCATCCTTTGTGTACCAGTAAAATAGATTAAAACGGTAGAAAGACTGCTTCAATTACTCTGAAGTAATAGGACTGTTGACGTTACTTGAAATTAGTTGTTTGATACAAAAATACATACACATTTGATAATTCTTGTAAGTGATGCCTCATCTTCCTCATGGAAGGAGAAAGTAAATGCAGAAAGAAACTTCACAACACTTACATCTTCTTCAAAGTTTCACACAGTTTTGTACTTCAAGCCTTTGGGATTTTACACTCCAGATCTTACCTTTCCACATGCTAAGAAGTGTTCCCTTGACTACATGGAGATTTCCTCTTTCCCCCTTTTTTCTTCCTGTGAACTGGCAGCTTTTTCTTCCACTAGGAAGAAGGCTCCTGCTCCGCCAGAGGATTTGTAACTACAAAACAGATTCAGTGCCCTCATAGCATTTAAGGGGCTAGGAACACTGTCAAATGAATCAGCTGTGTTTGGTAAACCTGAGCCATGCAGCAGCACAAAAGGTAAGTGGCAAGCATTACCAAGGGATGTAGAACCCTCATCTTTTGACTGACTCGTCATCTTAGAAGTGTTACTGTTTGCTAGGGGTTTGAATTCATGGCATTGTTGAAAGACTGCCAAAGCTTGTCCAGGAGGCCTCAGACTATTATTCTTGCTCTTCTACCTGAGCACCAGCTGTACAGCTAGGGAGACCTGGAAAGTACCAAGTGCGATTACAAGGTTCTGGAAATTATGGGTAGGGCCCAAGTGGTATTCTCCCCAGTCACACCAGTTATCAGGAAGGGCTTGAGAAGCAGACAGATCTTGCAGGCCAACAACCAGCTGTGAACTGGTGTTGGCAGCATCATTTTGGTTTCCATGACCAGAGAACCCTCTTTGAGAATCCAGAACTGCTTGGAAGAGATGGGATCCACCTGACTATGGTGGGCTGAAGCATCTTCACCAACAGGCTGACCAATCTGGTAAGAACAGTTTTAATCAAGGAACAAGAGAGGATGTTTCATTGTATTTTGCCTCAAGTGACAAAGTAGTGAACTCTGTTGGCAAGTAAAGGGTGTGGCACGATGTGAACAAGAGACACCGCATAGTCAACAAAACAGGGCTGAAGTGGGGTCACCCCAAGCATATGCACATAAATAAGGAAAAGTCTACAGAAAACCACTACAGGGAACACTCTCATTCTTGGGAATCAATAATATTGGATGCACATGTGAAGTGTCTGTGCACTAATGCATGCAGCATGGAGAACAAACAGGAGAAAATAGAGTTCTGTGTGTAGTTACAAGTTGAAAGATGGCTCAACTGCCAGGCTCGAAAGGCTGTTAGTAGCAGCATGAAGTCCAGCTGGAGGCCCGTCCCCAGGCAGCATACCTAATGGGTTAATACTATTAAATGTAGTGACCTAGATGATGGAACAGAGTGCAAGTTTTCAGATAATACAAAACTGGAATGAGTATTTGATACACCTGATAGTTGTGCTGCCATTTGGGAGGACCTTGACAGGCTGGAGAAATGGGCTGACAGGAACCTTATGCATTTCAGCAAAAGTACGTGCAAACCCCATGCACCAGTATATGCTGGGGACCAACTGGTTGGAAAGCAACTTTGCAGAGAAGTAGCTTGGTAGAAACCAAGCTGAACACATTACAGCAACGTGTCCTTGTAGCAAAGAAGGCCAATCACATCCTGGGCTGCACTGGGAAGAACACTGCCAGGAGGCCAAGGGAGGTACTACTCAGCTTTGGTGAGACCACATCTGAAGTGCTGTGTCCTGGGATCCCCAGTATGAGAGAGATCTGGACATATAAGAAAACTCAGCAAAGGACAATTAAGATGATTAACAGACTGGAGCATCTGTCACAACCAGGTGAAACTGAGTGAGCTGTGTCTGTTGAGCCTCAGAAGGCTCAGTGGGATCTTATCAATCCTGTGTATAACTATCTGATGGCTCCTCCCATAATCTTCTCAGTGGTGCCCAGTGAACAGGCAAGAAGTAGTGGACACAAATTGAAATACAAGTACTTCTATCTGAACATAAAGAGATAAATGCCCCCAGCTTTTTTGTGGTGGTGGTGTTTTCTGGGTTTGGGTTTTTGTGTTGGTTTTTTTTTTGTTTGTTTGTTTGCTTGTTTTGGGTTTTTTTAGCTGCTGTTTTTTTAAACTGAGGGCAATTGAATATTGGAATAGGTAGCCCACAGGGGCTGTAGAGCCTCCATCATTCCATATACTCAAAATCTGACTAGACACAACCCTGGGGCAACTTGCTCTAGCAAACTCTGCTTTGAGCAGGTGAGTTGGATTAAACACTACACAGGTGCCTTTCAATGCAAACCAGAACTCAGAGAAAACTGTTCATATCTATTCTGTACCTGTCCAGTCTTAATTTTCAACAAATTACATAGAAAACATTTTATTGTGCATTTACACTCAAGACAGTACCCTCTTCATGTGAAAAGGAATAAACCATACTTTTTTTTTTTTTTAAATAGATCTGTAGGAACTGGCATGCTCAATTTGGACTGCTGACTTTGGTAAGTGCTGTTTCAGTTTCTAATGAGCAATAAAAAGTTGTGTTTCTGTGAAAACAGGTAATTCTGCATACAGCTACATTCCAGGTGCATAGCTGTAGTCCCCAGAAACATCCTAGATTATACTGAGATGTTGAAGTACTGAATTTTATCCTATTTGATCTTAAAGTTCAAAAGAACAAAAACATTACCTAGTAACGTCTATTATTCCTTCACCTACTTTAAAGAACATAGTATTTTTGCAAACAACTAAACTGACAGTTCCATTCAGTTTATCACAGAAGTTTTATTGCATGAAACTAATTCCAACATTACTGATATACTGGCTCTATTTTTAAACCGTGATTAGAGCCAATACATTAACCTGCACCGGTTCCAAATTTTTAAAAAGCTTCCATTTGTAAGCTCAGCTTTAATCCAACTTACTTTACAGTAAGCTTATGCTTGAATAAATATCTCCCTAAGACAAAACTTCTTTTTTTTTTTTTTTGCATTTAAGATAGTTATCTGAAAACTCTAAACATTAGTCATGTTCCAGATTAAAGTACTGTTTAAGCATAGGAAAAGCCACATCCTTGTGGAATACCAGCCAAGTTTGAACCAAAATACACTTAAATACATAAAAATGTATAGGTAGTAAAACTGTATTTATTTCATTAAATCAATAATTCCTTACATTTTTTGAAGAACCTGGGCCATCACAACCCCATTCGTTAAATCTTCCACGGTCTGGCATGGTGCCTCGACATTAAACGTCTGGATCTGTGGGAAAAAGGAAAAGGTTATCTATCTTCTTTTACTTGAATGTCAAGGGATTTTCAAAAGTAAAACAAAAAAGCTACCAAATAGCAAACAGAACAGAGTAAACCCCACACATTTAGTGTATGTGTGAGGAATTAAGAAGCTTTAAATTTAATAGCAATCAAGAAAATGAACTACTGACAGGGCTTAGCATCTTAATTTCCATAACCTTGTAAACTCTGCTACAAGTAACAGCAGTACATTCTCCAAAAGGCAAATTTTTCATAGTATTTTCTCATTTGGGAAGTCACTGGGCCTTCTGATCTGCCACACAAGTACTTCTGGAGCATATATTCAATAACACTTTCTCAATGAGCATACATAAGAAATTCAGCTTTTAGAAGTAGCACTGATCACACAGAACTCTCATAGGCTCCCCACAACTAGAAGATCAAATGTAGAGGGACATACATACTTCCTATTTAATTATTCCCTACTATCAAATGGAAGAGGAGAGCACAATGCTGCTGAACCCGAATGGATCTATGAACTATTTGTGTTCTCGATATTTCAGGGTGTTTTATTAACACAGTAACCGACAGGAAGGTCCATACAATGGCAAGCCTCTGGTCTTCAGATGGAAGCTAATATTCTGAAGGGGAATGGCAAGGACCATAGGACTGTGCTGTCTGAATGCAATTACTTATGACTAAAGATGAGTTAGATTCCCCTCCACACACTGAACACACTTACTAAAACCAACCTAAAGTTAATTTTCTGAGGATGTTGTGTAATACTCCAGATTACGGTGGAACAAGAATAATCTCTTAACAAAAAAAAAACCTCATCAATACACATAATTTCTGTATAGCTTCTATCCATCAATTCAATTTTGATGAATATAGCATACAGGTGTCCTGGGTTGAGTGAGTGGTGGGGTTTTTTGGTGGCAGGGGAGGGGGCTATCGGGGCAGCCCCCTGTGAGAAGCTTCTTGAAGCTCCCCCAGCTCCAAGTCAGCTCCACTGCTGTTTGGGAAATTGAGACAATCAGCTGCGCCTCTGCGATAACGTATTTAAGAAGGGACGTGGTGACGGGCAGTCAGACTGGTGAGGAGGAGTTGCTGCAGCTGCGTGAACACCAAGGTCAGTGGAGGAACGGAGGGAGAAAGGAGGGGGGAGGTGTGCCGGAGCAGAGACCCCCCTGTATCCTGTGGTGAGACGGCAGGGCGGCCCCCCCCTGCCACCCATGAAGATCTACGGTGGAGCAGACATTGATTTACAGCCTGTTGTTCCTGCTCAGAATAATCAAGGTTCTGTGCCCGAAGAAGGCCGGGGTCTCATGGGAAAAGGCAGCCCCGCTGCTGTAATTCAGTGCTGGGAGGATTGCAGCATGCCGGGGTGTCCCACGCCAGAGCAGCTCGGGAAGGGCTGCAGCCGTGGGAGGGAATCCAGTCGGAGAAAGTTAGTGAACCACGCCAGAGCACTGTAAGGAAACGCTGTGGCTCGAGGGAGGGACTCTTGTTGGAGAAAGTTTGTGGAGGACTGTCTCCTGTGAGAGGGGGACCACGATGGAGCAGGAGGAACAAGTTTTGGGCACTCCCCTCACCGAACATGAAGGAAGTGGCAGCACTGACTGCACCCCCCATTCCCTGCCCCTGTGCCACTGGGGGAGGAGGTAGAGATATCGGGAGCAGAGCTGATCCCGGGAAGAAGGGAGGGGTGGGGGGAAGGTGTTCTCAAGATGTGGCAATGCTTCTCACTGTCCTACTCTGTTATGTGTTGTTAGTGTCTGTAATAAATGTATGTTCTTTTTTTTCTTCCCCTAATGAGTCTGCCTTTTGCTCGTGATCATAAAAGGGGGATTTTCCCCCATCCCAGTCCTATCTTGAACCCCAAGCCTGGCTCTCTGTCCCTTCTCATTGCTGGAGGGGAAGGGAGAGAGAGGTGCTGCATTGTGGTTGGCTGTCAATCAGGCCTAAACCACGACAACAGGCTATCTGAAATCCTCCCCCTACCATATCAGCAAACATACAAATACACAAGGCAAAGCTCTTTTCTCCCTTCCTCTTTCAGTGTAGAAAAGAGCCTTTCTGCTTCAGCACAGTCTCTTCAAATGGTCTAAGTTATTTGATCATTTACTTTAAATGAACATTATTTTTAAATGATGCGGATGAGTTTTGTGAAAACAGTTTTGATGACGTCATTTGGAGAGTATCTGCCTAACGCTCTCTGCTGTTATCCTTCTCCTTGAGTAAGCCTGGGCTTATTTATTGAAAGCAAGAAAGCCTACAAGACAGCTTGCAGCTTCAGGCTAAATAAATGTTACATATATCAACCATTTTTTACTGAACAGCATGTACAACCATTCATGCTTTAGTGGTATTTGAAACACTAATGCCAGTCCAAGCCATTTCCCAATAAATGCCCTCTAGATATGTATCTTACAATAAAAGACAATTCAAGTAACAGGGGAATCTTGCAGGTCCTTTTTTGAGGAGAATGATCTCAAAATATCAAAAGCACAATATCCAGATTCTCATAATACCTTTGGAATGTCACAAAAGCACTCTAGCAACACCATTTAACATTAATTTGGAGAACAACACCTACACAAACATCCTTTCTTTCCTTTACTCCGGAAGAAAAAAAGCCTAGCACTTAATTGGGAAAAAAACCCAGCAACAATAGCCGTGAAGACCCAAAAAACTAAGCTCTCAGAGTACGTTTGCTAAGCAAGTTCAGTGAGCAACAGTCATGAATAATGTTCGTGTTCCATGAGTACAAGAACAAATTACTGTGTGGCATACAAAACAGATGGAAGCAAATTCTACACTTCAGATTCAGTAGATTTTCCTATAGCTTGGTCTGAGCTACACAGAAAACACAGTTCCTTACTTCTCCAGAAAATCAAGAAGCTGTCATAGATTGACAAAACACTAGGTGAAAATCAGGGTGGGTGGGTGGGAAAAAAAAAAAACACACACATGAAAAGCACCACGTAACAGGATGTAACATCAAATTGCAATTTTGCCAGAAAACTGAATTTACCTACAGTCTCTTTACAACAGTAATACCGTTGAAGGAATACAGAGACAATTCTGAATTTACAAACTCAGCAACACATTAAACAGAAAAAAATACTTTTTAGCAAAAAAATCGGCAATGACATCATGGATGATTATGCTTGAATAACTTCAGCAATTTAGAAGGATAAAATTCTCAGGCATAGACAATGAAAACTTGTTTCTAATTTTGCATATTATACCTTTAAATAATGAAAATTTAAATCATTGTTATACAATAGCCAAATCAAAAAATCACTTAAGAAGAATGACTACTACTATAATTTTTAAAAAATAGACAAAGTGAAATGCTCTTTTCAAATCAACAATACAGACATTAAGGAGGTCTTCAAACAGAATGCAAACTCATAAGATTTTTTTTTTTAATTCATTTTATATATTGATATATGAAAAACCTCCTTAACTAAGTAAAAGTATACATAAGAGATGTCATGATACTGACATAAGAAGAAGGGTTGCTAAGCCTATTTACATGACACAGAAAACCAAGATGCATACTCTGCTGTTTTGCAACTAGTTTTATCACCATACTTCCCCATTACTTTATACACAAGAAAAGGTCAAAACTGTCATTAAGACTCAGGTAATCAGTCTGAACTCTTTTTTCCCCACAGTCACACATGCAAGATTGCATTGCAGACAATAATGGTTTTCATAGTTAGATGACAAAGAACAGAAAGGAAGACTAATACTAATTATATTACTTGTTTCTTGACATACATTTAAATTTTTTAATAAATGTCTTTGCTTGCATAAGAAAGGAATATACAGCATAATATTTCAACTAAGGTGTCAAATGTGTACTACAAAACGTTTATTCAGCTCTTAAAACAAAGGAACTATATCCTTTTAATATCCTCAGGAGATACAAAAGTAAGAAGTTTTCTTCAAAAAAAACCCTGCAGAAAACAGCTTTTCAAATTTATGTCAAAGTTAAATTCCTATACCATTTGCAGATAGTGCTACAAGTTGCTAAATCACTCTAAGAAACAGTAGAGTTCATTTTCCAGAAGGGAGAAAAAGAATGTGCCAATGCAGAACCAGAGTCCAGCTGTAGAGACAAAAAAGCAAGTATTTTTGTGTGTGCCTCTAAACAGCATTTCAGTAACAGCTGTTAAAACACTGCCCTTCCCGTGCATTGTGATGTGTTTCCTCCTGGAAGAATTCTCTCTCATCCAGCTGGAACCACTCCTACTTCTTGAGTGTTTGCAATACTGTGCCCATTGTTAGTTCCCCAAAATTGTAAATTAATTCCCATTCCCCATTATGATTCTTTCCTACTTCTTGTACCGCTACATGGAGCCTTGACATCATGCCTGAGGGAAGAGATGCCATCAGCAGGAACCTGGACAAGCTCAAGAAATGGGCCCATGTGAACTTAATGAGGTTCAACAGGGCCAAGTGCAAGATCCTGCACCTAGGTCAGGGCAATCCCTGGTATCAATACAGCTGGTGGATGAAGGGTTTGAGAGCACCCCTACAGAGAGAGACTTGGGGGTACTGATGAGCAAAAAACTGGATGTGAGCCAGCAATGGGCTCTCACAGCCCAACCAGACTGCATCAAAAGAAGTGTGGCCAGCGGATGAAGGGAGGTGATTCGCCTCCTACACTGCTCTGGTGAAACCCCACCTGGAGTACTGCGTCCAACTCTGGAATCCTCAGCACAGGAAAGACACAGGCCTGTTGGTGTGGGTCCAGAGGAGGGCCACAAAACAGAGGGATGGAACACAAAAAAGAGGGATGGAACACCACTCCTATGAGGACAGGTTGAGGGAGTGGGGGTTGTTCGGCCTGGAGAAGAGAAGGCTCTGGGCAGTCCTAATTGTAGCCTTTCCACACTTAAAGGGAATTTACAAAAAGGTTGAGAACTGACTTTTTAACAGGGCCTGTAGTGATAGGACAAGGGGTAGTAATTTTAAACTAAAGGAGGATAGATT